ATTCTTTTTTTCTTCTTCATGTGGTTTGCGGTTTTAATCTAACGGTGCTCCAGATCACGCATGCTCTCTATCTCGTCTGCTTCGAGTCCGAACACTGCATAAGTGGACCGAGACCAACGCACGTCGTCCAGTCGTCTTTCCGTGCATTATCGTACATGACGGGGAAAAGAAATCAATCTACTTGATACGTCGGTAAAAGTCTCGCGAGAGAACGAGTATGAATGTGCCTTTCTTCAAGTGCCCAATCGGATACGTCAAGCTCAAATCATAAACACGACATCACGAGCGACAACTCCGCAGTTCTGAAATATCGTTATTGGTCTTCTGGTTGGTTACATGTATCATCTCTCTCTCTCTCCATCTCCCCCAAAAACGCCTAAAACCAAAGGCCCAAAGCGAAAACAGCCAAAAAAAAGACCAAGACCAACCAAAAACAAAGATACCAGCCTACCCAGGCCAGCTAAATGAAAGATTCCTCATCCCACACGCCACATTTCTTCATAATAGTGAAACAATAAGAAAAAGAAAAACACAAAATACATGATAAGAAGGGAAGGGGGGGGGAAACGAGGGGTGAAAAAACGAGAGAGAGAAAGGGGGAAAATAACTCCATCTCGTCGGGGGTTGTGCTGTCTGCTGAATGATTTCCGCATCTATTGCTTCCCGCCGTAAAGAAAAAAGACGCAAGTTCAAGACCCCCAATTTGACCCAGGTCGTCTTTACGCTCTCCTCTCCCCTACTGAGCGAATGCCAAAAAAGAACATATCCGTCAATATGAACCAAAAAAAAAAGAGACAAAAAAAGGGGGGGGAGGACAAATATGATGATTAAACGAATACAACACACGAGCAACGCAACTCGTGCTGATGCTAATTTCTTAGCATGTTGAATGTGTCGTGCAAAGAAAAGAAAATAGAGCTGAAAAATGAGGCTCGCCCCAAAGTGTTGCTGCCCAGCCATGTTATCTGACAAGAAGGCGAAAAATACAACCAGAATCAAATGGTGGAAAAAGAGGTAAAATGTATGGTATCCATATGTATGTGGGCTTTTTGGTGGTATAATGTCGGTGATCAATCGATGCTATGCAATTCTGATGCCAACGCATGAATGAGGAAAAGTTGCACAGCAGCAGCAGCCCTCGAAAAGCAAAAAAAAGGGGGGTGAGGCTGCCGTTGCAAAGCATATTCTTAGAAAAGAGAGCCAAAACAATCCCAGTTTGCTCAACTCCCCAGAGGAAAGCAAGCTTCTTCCTTTTTTAAAACATGTCTTCTCTTTCTTCTTCTTCTCGCTTCTCCGTCTTCTCCTCCAAACTCTCACCGCCACAAGGCCTCCTAAACCCTCGCAATGCGGCGCCGGTCCAGGAACGGACTCGGCATCTCGTCCGTCTCCGGGTCCCACACGGCCACCGGCTCGTATCCGGAGCTGACCACGCGCTCCCGGTACGTCGAGGTTCTGGATCTCTTAGGACTCACGTTCTCGCCCACCGGCGCGCTCGAGACGCTCATGGGCCGCCCTCCTGCGCGCGCCTGCTGCAACTCGACGAGCGTCCGGCCCTTAAGGTTGCTCTTAGTCGCCTTGCTGAGCGTATCGGATGCGTCCTTCCTAGAGGACAACTTGCGGGAGTGGCCCAACGAAGACGACGACGATATCGGTGAGGGAGTGTTAGTCTCGCCGACCGTATTCTGCAGCCCCAGGTTGGCAACGGAGGGAATCTTTGTCAACCGGCTGGCTGGAGAGCGTGTGCGGCTGCTTGTCTGCGCCGGTGGCACAGCAGCCTTGGACACGAAACCGCTCGAGCTGGCGCCGCTGGTCCTAATGCGGGCGGCAACATTCGATGTCTTCTGCGAGCTCAGGCTGAGGATCGGCCGGTTCTTGCTGGTGAAGGGGTTCCTAGAGGACCGGTGCCGCGTCGGCGAGGGCGGCGTGATGTCTTCGTCGTCCGAATCCAAGCTGGCGCCCTCTCTCTCCCACTTCTCGGGATTGGATGTCGTCGTCGCGTTCGCAATAAAGATGTTACCTTGATGCGTCCGCGCCTTTGTGTTTCCGCGGCGGCGAGGGGATAGGGACAGCGTTGCGATGGCCATGGCGCCGGGCGAGGTCATCTCAATGTCCATGGGGGTGCTCACTTGGCCGGCGAACGTCTGCGCTCTGGTGTATGGCGTCCGTGCCGTCCGCTTGATTTCCTTGCTGGTGTCGGGGCTCTCGTTCGAGTAGGAGAGCTCGGTGATGTCGGTGGTGGAGGGGAACTCGTCGCCGCTTCCGTCGGCAGAAGATGTGTGCGCGTGCTCCGATTTCGCATGGGGAGAATCGACGACGGGAACTTGGACTTGAACCTGTCTTGTCGGCGGCGAAGGCGTCCTCTTACGGCGGCTCTCCAACTCTCTCTCCACGTGCTTCCTGACTTCTTCATCAAACTGCTTCTTGAGCTTCTCCACTTCGATGCTGATGTGGCGGTCGATTTCCAGCCGGGCCTTGACTTCCCACTCCCTTCGGATAGACGCATCAAGCTCCTCTCGTATCAGGTGCTTGTCCTTGTCCAGGTTCACCAGTCGCAGGTTCAGCTCCGTCTCCTTTTCGCGAAGAATCTCCTCGCGCGCCTTGAGCGCCTTGTTCAGGTCAACCACCTCCTTCTCCTTCCGCACGAGCCTCACAACCGGCAAGTTCAGCAGCTGCGCAGTGTCGGGTCTCCTATCCGGGTTGACTTTGAGGCAGTCCTTGATGACTTGGTTGAGCTCGGGAGAGTACATGTCCGGCAGGGGGTTGATTTTGCCGTCCTTGATCTTCTGGACCAGCTGGTAGTGCGACTTTGCGTTGAAGGGCGGCTCGCGAGCGCAGAGCTCGTAGATGATGCACCCCAGCGACCAAATGTCGGACTTGAGCGTGTATTTTTCGGCCGCGCAAATCTCGGGCGACATGTAGAACGGGGTGCCGACGTAGGTGGAAGCGAAATCTTGCGACTTGATCATCTTGGACAGGCCAAAGTCGCCTAGTTTAACGGAATTGTCCTCGCCGAGGAAGACTGTAGGGAGAGGGTCGGGTCAGCTTATTTCTCGCCAAAGCACAGCACCAGGCAACCCCCCCGGCGAGGATGCGCAATATGCAAAGTTCTCACCATTTTCGGGTTTCAAGTCTCGGTGTAGGATCGTCACGGCTCCGGCCGGCGTCTTGGGAGCCATTCCGGCCGCCGCGCCCAAGACATTGCCGCCGACCTCCGGAGGGTCGATGCCGTAGTGACAGCGATACAGGGCCAGGGCCAGCTGGCTAAAGATGCCCCAGACGAAGCTCTCCTGGGCTCTCTGGCCCTTGAGCTGCAGGTCCTTGATGACGCGGCCCAGGTCGCCGTTGCCGCAGTATTCCATGTACAGATGCAGGTCCTGGCTCGCCTTGAGGTGCTCGCGGTGGTAGTATGCGACGATGTGCGGGTGTCGGAGATGGGACAGGATCTGGAACTCGGCGTGGAGCTGCTCGCGCTCCTTTTGCGACATGCGAAGGTACGAGATTTCCTTGCGGCACATGATGAAGCCGTCGGCCTTGCGGCGGACTTTGCGGATGATGCCAAAGGAGCCATGGCCTGTGGGAGGGAGGAGGAGGCGCCGCCAATGTTTAGCTGGCAACGAACTCAAAAAAAAAAAAAAAAAAAAAAAAGCCGCTTCTGTTTAACTCACCAATCTTCTCCAGCGTCTCGTACTTGTCTTCGTACGACATGTTGAGGGGCTTTTCACGGCGGTACCAACGATGCTTGTCTGCTTCCGAGCCCCATAAAGGGAACCTGTTCCGACTTTGCAGCCAGGGAAGAGAAAGAGGACGAAGGAGGAGGGGAGGGAGAGGGGAGGGGCGTCAGACAAGGTCAGAGGATATTATAAAAGTCGACCAAAAAAAATAAGATGTATATGCTGTGTCTCCCCTCGGGGGCTTGTCAGAGTTTCGTACCAAAGCCAAAAAAAAGAAAACACTAAGGAGAAAAAAAAGCTTGTTCTGGTGATGCTGCTTCGGAGGAGGAGAAGAAGAAAAAAGTTGGAATGTCGGAAAGGTAATACAATGGAACAGAGAAGAGCAACCGGCTCAGCACCTAAATGGGGCGGGCCACTGATGGGCTTTGTTAGCAAAAAGGAATCCAAGCCCAAAGCAGTGGCGTGCGTTTCCACCTTTGTGCTGCTTGCTGGCTGCTGAAGTTGCTGCGATGCGGCCAAAAGGGACCCTTGCTCCGCCAATTAGCCAAAACGGGGGATGCTGGTGCCGGAGGGGATGTAAACAGTCGTGCGGCTGCCATGGCAACGGGCCCGAAAAGGGAAGTGCCGGGGTGTATCTTCTTATCGATAGAGTGGATTACTCAAATAGGCTTAGTTGTAGGTCGATATTTGGGGGCTCATTGACGTAGCGACGTTGGCTGTCAAACAAACGTTGCGGCGTGGCGTGTGATGCAAAAAGCCAATGTGTCATTTGCTGCCGTCTTTTCTTTTTCCTTTTTGTCTTTGTTTTTCTGGGGGGACAACTGACGTTTGATTGACATTTCTGCCGTTTGCCGTGGCGGTCAAGAACAAGAAAGCTGGGAAAATCAGCCCTGGGTTTAGGGTAGCAACTAGTGTACATGCTAATGTAAGAACAACACATGTCAAGAGGTTTCAATTGTTACTGTAGACGGCACTGTACGAGATGCACTTGGTAAGACGGAGTTTTTGCAAAACAGATAATCCGGGGCAATTCAAGGCAAAAAGAAGACATCTATGATATGGCATGCTCGAATATTGACGTTCTACATACAAAAAGCCCGGAGTAATAGCACGGGCGGGCCCGCGATGGCAAGTTCCGGTGACATGCTCAAAACCCGATAAGCGGCAAAGTTATCTCCGTAAGACGGCCTTTACATAATCCATCCATCCATCCATTTTTCTTCATTTCTTTGAATACATACCCTCATATGGCGAATCATTTTTCTAGTTTTTCTTTATTCTCTTCCGTCTTATTCTTGTCTTAGAGTTGGAACAATACATTCACATACAATGGTGCTGGGAAAGCATGAGCTCGAGGGCAAGCTGGGCGAGGAAAGCCTCCTGATCAAGAGCGGCGTGCTGCGGGACGAGAACCCGCTCGACACGAGTGCCGAGTTTCACGATTTCCTGCTGGCGTGCCGCCGGGGCGATTTGCGCAAGTGCCAGGAGCTCATTGGCATGGGCGTCAATATCAACGGCAAGGACAAGTTTGATTACACGCCCTTGATCATTGTGAGTGCTTTGCTTTGCTGTGGCGATGAGGGCAATGGCGGGGGTTGGGAGTTGACGAGAAATACCATGTAGGCCAGTTTGTGTGGGCATTATGAGCTGGTTCAGCTGTTGCTAGAATCCGGTATGCATCGTCTCTCACTTGCATCTTTTCTTATACATACCTGATTCATGAAAATTGGACGTTGCATAAAGAACACTCTATTAAGCCAAATACTTATGCCCGTGTATAGGCGCCCTCGCCGAGAGAAACACATTCCAGGGTGAGCGCTGCATATACAACGCCCTCAACGACAGAATCCGCAACCTGCTACTGCAGTATGACTTCTCCAAGAGCTCAGATCCCTACGTCTACTGGTCATCGCACATTTCCGCCCTCTTGGGCCGTCCGGCTCCCAACACGACGGACATTTCGCTTGATGCCGAGACCAAGTCTTTCAACCTGCACAAGTTCCTGCTGGCGTCTAGAACGCCCTACTTTCGCAGGAAACTCGAGGCAGCTCCGGAAACAGCATCATGGAAAGTATCGGCCACCATTCCCGTGGAGGCGTTCCAGATTGCCGTTCGGTACATCTATCTGGGTGAAGTACCGAGGGATCTTGCGCCTCCCGGCAGCGCCGCAACCGAGGAGGAGGTCGCCAAGGGCCTCGACAAGATCAGCAAGCTGCTCGAGATTGAACAACTATGGGAGGCCATCCTGGTGGGAAACGACCGTCGATTGGCACGGCAGCGGTACCAAGACGAGGTCGAGAGGGCGTTGAACCAAGTGGGAGATTTCTTCCAGGAGAGCGTCTTGGGGCACAAGATGGTCGTCGACACAGACCGCGTCGACCAAGTCCGGTGGAAGCACGACAACTCCATCTTCGCAGACGTCCTCCTGCGGGCAGACGAAGCCGCCGGCGAAGAATCCGATGGCGGCCCTGCCGACTCAGCCTCTGGATACGCCGCCGCCGGCATCCCCATCGGCCCCTCGTCTCACACCAACGGCGCAAAGAAGGCGAGGAAATCCGTCCTGTATCCCGCCCACAAGGCCATGCTCATCCGCAGCGAGTACTTTGACAAGATGTTCTCGGGCGACTTTGTCGAGTCGCAAAAGTCGGAGCACCTGCACGTCATCACCGTCGACTGCACGCCCGCCGTGCTCGAGCTCATCCTGTCCTTCCTCTACACCGAAAGCGCGCCCTGCCCGCTCGAGCACGCGCTCGACCTGCTCTACGCCGCCGACATGCTATTCCTCGACAGCCTCAAGAACAAGGCCGCCATCGCCATCAGCACTCTCGGCAGCGGCACCGCAAACGCCCTCATCGACCGCACACACAACAGCGGCGAGGGAAACACGGTGGAGGAAGCAGTACAGGTCGAAGTAGAGCCCATCAACATCTACGACGTCATCCACGCGGCCTGGGACCTGCGCGTCCAGCGCCTCGAAGAGTTCGCCGCCCGCTACCTCGCCCAGCGCCTCGAGGACTACATCGACGAGCCCGACTTCCACGAGCTCATCCGCGAGAGCGCCGACCGCATCACCAAGCGCGAGGAGACGGACACCATCGAGCTGCTCGACGACATCCGGTACTATCTTTCCGAGCGGTTCCGCCTGCGCTTCGAAGACGCCGGCCTGGAGGAGATGATGGACGAGGACGGCGAGATCAGCGCCCAGATGGTGGCTGCGCTGGCGAATGGCTCGGCGGACGTTGTTGATGACGATGTTGCTGCTGCTGTTGCTCAGATTGACTTGAAGGAGAGTCGGAACGGCGAGATGAATGGAGTCAAGAAGAGTGAAAATGGCGAGGAAGCGGTGCGGACGTTGGACGGGGAAACGGCCGAGGATGAATTTGCTTCGGATGCCATCAATTACCAGATTTTGCTGCAAAAGATTGATGCCATGTTGGAAAGCTTGAAACTGGATGCATGATTGGACGTGATATATCAGCATATACGGGTGAGTATATTGAGTTTAAAATATCGTTACATAAGGTACAAATACACACGGTATACAGGCAGCATACGAAAATAACCACTCATGGCATTTGAACAACAAATTTACACAGACGCGCTAGCTTACTCCTATTTGCTTCTCATCGTACAATTCCAGAATCTGCACACAACAAACGAGCCAAGTCAACTACAAAGCATCGGAAACAAAACAAAACAAAACACTAAACATTATAACGTATATCATGGCCGCAACGCTCAAAGGTACTTGACAATCTTGATCCTCGCCCGCAGTGCCTCCGGCAGCTCCTCCAGCTTGACAAGCCCCAGCTGCACAACATCTCCCCAGAAGAACATGGCCCTGTCCTGGGCATAGCTCAAGTAATCGAATTCGTCCGCGCCGGGCTCCTCCTCAGCAGGGGTCCCATCCAGACCCGGTACCTTGGCTTGCACGATGCCCCATGCAATCCACTGGGCGCTGTTTGCCGGTTGCCAGAGTCGGGCTTCCTCGATGAGCTCTCGCACTTGCTGCTCGGCCTGCTCCTCGCGCGCCTTTTCGACTGCGCCCCAGTCACCGCCAGGGTAGCGAGCATCCAGCATAAAGTCGACAATGGAGCTGCTGGACGTCGTCGGAAGAAGTGATGGCGTAGCTGCGGCGCTGGGGGTGTCGAGCGGCGTCAATCGGGGCGTCGAGCTGGACGGCGGGAACTGGGGCCGATGGTCCACGTACGCCCTGATGAAGCGCTTCTGCTCCTCGAGGCTCGGGTACCGATCGGCGTGGCAGGCAAAGGGAACCACTGGATCGTGATAGTTGTACATCCACTCTGTGAAATGGTTGGCAAACTCGAGTCCCGCGGTGTTGGGAGCTGCGTATTCAAAGTCAATGACGACAAGTTGCTTATGTTTGTTTGCAGGCTGCAGAAGTGGCGACTTCTCGTCATCAGGACGAATCCTAAGAATGTTGCCGTATTGAGTCTAGAAATAAAAAAAAAGTCAGCTTCCATCTACCAGGATGAAGAGCAAAAAAGGGGGGTATGGGAGGTGCTCACATCGTTGTGCGCAAACACGAGCCTGTCCTTGATGGCCCGGTGACCCTTGTAGCAGTTGTTCAGATGGGCCCTGTACTTGATCACCACCTCTTTAAATTGCTCCCAGGGAACACCGCACACATAGCCATTGATTTTCCAGGCCTGGGCGAGTGAGTTTCTCCTCTCGGCCTCGGGCGTCTTCTCCAGCTCCTTGTCCAAGAAACTAGTGATGCGGCCGACGTTATCCAGCCACTGATCCCAGTTCTTCCACACGCCAGGCCCATTCTCACGTTCGTGCAACAGCACTTGGACGCCGTCGTGCAGCTCCCTCATACGCTTGGCAATCTGTCTCGAGGTTTCAGGCTCTCGCAGGTTCAGCGGAGTGAGCGTGATGGCATTGAAGAACTGCTCGAAGCGTCCGTTCTTGAAGGTTCCCAGAAGTCGTGGGCCAATCTTCTTGCGTGCGAGTCGCTGCAGCACCTGGAGCTCGTTCTCTCGGTCAATGAGATGCTCCACCTGCGGTCCGTACACTCGAAGCAGCACCTTGGTCGGCGGCTTCCTGCCATCGGCCTGGGGTAGATCAGCCGGGGGAGTGACGACATATACGGCGTTCGTCAATGCGCCGCTCAATCGCTCAACAGCCATGAATTCGCCGCTGCCGAGGGGGATACGGCGCCACCCTTTAAGCCTCAAGGTGTGAGCTATGCGCAGAATCTCATTCTTGAAAACAGTCCATGCTTCTCTTTCCTTTTCGGCCTTGGTCGCCTGAGCCGATACATCATCTGTGCTGGTGCTGGCTCCACCAGTGTAGCTCATTGTCTTGGAATTGTCAAGCCAAGCATCGCAGCTAGGCACGATGGCGTCACCATCAACGTAATCGGTATCCGAAGAGGCGGTGCGATGAAGAGCCGAGCGCGAATTCTGTCGTCGGTGCTTGGGGCCCACTCGCGGGCTGTACTTGGGAAGCGTGACAAGTCCCATGGAAGCCATGGAACTCTCTAAGATATGCTGCAAGCCATCGAAGGAGATGTCGCTGGACTGCGAGCTTGTGGAGTTCGATCTTTCGCGCGTAGGGTGACTAGCAGCCGTAGAGGCTGCACCCTCGGCTTGCGCCTGGTCGGACGGGGGAGATTTGGACTTGCGCCGACGAGGCTTCTGTTTCCTAGCCATTGCCTTGTTGCGCTCTCGCTCCAGCCATTCTCCAACCTGGGCCAGAATCCTCTCGCTCTGGTGGTTTCGGCGGTGGCTATGATGGTGAGACGAGAGAGCCGTATCGTCCACAGGTCGAATCGCTGGCGAAGCAGTTGCAGACAGCTTGCCGCTCAATCGGCGAGCGGGAGCCGCTGGGCGGCGTTGCTTGCCATGGTGCGAATCGTCTTCGATATAGTCCTCGGGGACAGGATCGGCAATCTGCACAGCTGTGACGAGTGTAAGCCCAGATTCGGTAACCCATTCAACGTTTTCTTATCCCAGTATTTTACCTCATCGGCCGATGGCAACACGACGAGAAGCGCACGAAGGAGATCGAACGACCAGGACAGCAAAAGACGTCGACATGTCATTTCACCCCACCAGCTGAACCCCGCCACAACAGGCGAAATTATCGTCACCGAAGCAATATGGCAGACGCTCGATCATTGCGGAAGCATTGTCCAGTCCGCGGTGGGAGTTTCGCAGTCGTAGAGTCAAAGCGACACAGCCTCCTTCGGCGTCATTGGCTGGGGAACGATTCACTCATACGTACCTTTGAGAGTGCCGCTGGCGGGCGGAGTTCGCACCGCTTCGTCGTCCATCTTGAGTGCCGAGCGCAACGGCGCCGGAGGATGGGTTGGGGTTTCAGGCATTTGCGTCAGACAATGCGAGGCTTCTTGTTCGTGGTGGACAGGAATGCTGCAGTTGTCAAGTGTTGTGAACAGAGGCGCAAAAGAGTTGGCGTGGGGGTTCCAGGCGCTTCAAGACGGCTCAACCAAAAAAAGAAAAAGTCGCTAGTAGTAGAGAGTGTCTCGTGGAAACAAAACCCACTAATATTGTCGACAGAACGTTGATTAGCGACAGAAAGATGGGGGAAAGGTAAAAAAGAAAGATCCGCGTCCAAGTGATGGGTAAGAAAGACGAAGCGAAGGAACAAAGAAAAGAATGAGAAGCGTAGAAAAACAAGGGATCTGGGCAAGGACAAAAGAGCAGCCCTCGTGACCCCGGTCAAGACTCTGGGCTGTGACAAGGTGCTGCTAGTCCTGAGTGAACTGAACGCCACGCTGTTGTTTTCGTGCTAGCAACAGGCCCAGCCCAGGAGGAACAAAAAGGCCGTGCTGAGTTGTGTGATAAGGGATTTGATTTGATTTGAACTAGGCTGGCCTTTTGGAGGGATCGCACAAGGCTAACGAGAAAAAAAAGGACCGGGAGAGCAACGAAGAGGTGTCGACGGAACAGCCATTATGACGTAGCACCAGGAGGTGGCTTTGTAGCTCTACCTACAGTACTATAGTACCTAGACTGTGCTGATCCCATTTCGATTTCCATGTCTATTTTACTTTTTCTCATGCTGATACTGATACTGGACCCTTTCAAGGGGATTCACAAGGTTCAAGCCAAGGGGACTCGCGGCCCGTCGCGCTGCAGTAACAAGGTCTGGTGTCTTTTTGGCCCTGTCGTTGGCGGACATACATGGCCAGACATGTGATGGGCCTTTTATTCTCTCCACTGCAGCAAACTATCCAACACTAACACCGAACGAACGCTTCCCCCCTGTCTTATCCCATCCTCCTGTATCCCATCCCATCCTCGTTCTCTATCCCCTATTTGCTTGCCCACGTACTACATAAATACATGCAGTGCAGTACGAATCGCCCTGGATGTGGCTGAGAGCCCGCATGGTGCGCTGTATTGCCTCACACACGCATATAATCTGGATATGTCCCCCTGAGGAGCAGCCATCATCCCCTGTTCTCTCGGTCGCCGCATGAGGAAATCCCAAGCGTGCCTCAAAGGGCTGAGGCCTTTTCCCAGCCCGCTTTTCCCTTTGTCTGCTCGCGTGCGCACTTTACAAACCGTACTGTAGCATCCAATACGAAATCCGTTGGGTTGGCTCTATAGTGGCTCTATTGGCTCTATCCGACGCATCCTCTAGCCACTCAAGGTCGCTACCCGAAATGAAGTGAGACAATCTAAATAGATTGAACAAAGGAATCAATCACACCCAGTCCTCGCTCGCCAGCCATTCCCTCGTCACCTCCACTCCCTCGTTCCTCATGGCCCACGCAATCGCCTCAACCACGTCGTCCACAATCACCGCCGGCTTGTACCTCGGCTCTCTCTCCGCCGCCGTCTCTTTCCACACGCCCGTCTTGACCAATATCGAAATCCACTCCGTCCCGTCCGCCGGCACAAACTCGTTGGCGCCCCGGATGTCGCTCTCTGGGTTGTCGCCAATCATGTAAACCCGCCTCAGCGGCTTCTTCTTCCTCTCGTCCTTGCCGTGCGGCTCCTCGGGCGCGTGGTGAAGCAGCCGGTCGTGTGCGTACTCGTAAGTGTGTCTCGACGGCTTGCCCAGGGCGCTGAACTGCAGCTCGGCGCCGCCCGTCGATGCGGCCCACACGCCCTTTAGCGCCTCGACAAACGCGCCTGTTCCGAAGCGGTTGACGGGGTATTCCGTCTTCCACAGGAGGTCCAGGTTGGAGATCCAGAGCTGTGGCTGGCCGTCCTGCTGCCATCCGTTGTTGGGGAGCTGAGCGTTGCCGTTCTTGCCGGAAATCGTGCCTAGATAACCGCGATGCGAGATGAGCAGATCGTGGATCACCTGAATGTCCAGGGACCAATCCCTCGGGTCGTTCCAGACAAGGATCTGGTCAATCTTGAGCGCGTTCGCCGGCACCTCCTTGCTGTAGGGATCAATGGTGTTTGATACAATCTTGCCGTCGGGAAGCGGCCGTGACTCTCTGTGAAGGCTCTCTCGCAGGTTGTCAAACGGATACACCTTGTCGTTGGCTTCAATGATGTCTGCCGGTGTCACGGCCCTGGCAAATCCGTATCTTACTCGTACATCTCCATGTCAGTTTGTCTCGCCAAGACGTTGCAGAGGGCATGGGGTTTACACCGACTCGTTGGCTACCCTGCGAGCAATCTCTGGGTGAGATCCCGTAATCAGCACCGTTCCCTGCTTCTTGACGCTCTCGTCCCACCCTCGCATCGGCGTGTGCGAGAGAATGACCCTGTTGCGGATCACATCCTCGTTTTCCGAAAGTCCTAGACGCTTAGATAGTGATTTGAACTTGGCATCTTCGTGACTGCCGCCGCCGTTGGTCAGGAAGACGTAGCGGATGTCGTGCGATCTGATCCTCCTGAGCATCTCCTTGGCTCCCGGAATCGCCCTTTGGCCCTGATACAAGACTCCATCGATGCTGTGGGTTTCGGCGCTCTTAGTCATTGCATGCGCCCTCTTTGGATAGCTTCAACCAAACGTACTCAAAGGCAAAGGCAATCTCGGATAAAGCCTTGCGTGAGGTGTCGTCCACAGGACCCTGTTGAAAGGACCGAGAAGGCGAATTCACCTTTTCATGTAAAACTGTCGCCGCATGGAATCCCCGCCTGCCGGTGCTTGCTCGAGTTGCGCCGGCGCTGAAGCTGTTGAAAGCTGGCCATGGCCGAGTGATGAGGCCGAGTCGCGATACGGGCGCCGACCGGCATCGGCCCAAAACCCGTGCGCGCGACATGTGGCAAGCTGAAACCTTTCGGCCTTGGCCGTCGTGATACTGCCAACGTATCCCAGAGGCCTCACTGCGATTGCGCCAAAAGACGGCGCTGTGACTGTCGAGAATAAGTATGCGGGAGCAAGTTCATGTGGCCGAAGAGTCGCAGGGCGCCGATACTGGCCGGGATCCGTATCTCCACTATCTTAGGCGTCCTCCGCCACGACTGCGACTAGAAGGCGACCAAGTCAACTGCAACGTAAACTTGTAGTTTAGTCTTCAATGAATATTCAACTTTGTCACATGATAACGAATAACAAGGACGAATAGGACATGGCATAATGCGATGCGTTTACTATATCAAGATTGAGTGGTTCATTGCTTCTTGGGCACCCCTCCTTCTATGGCTTAATGGTACACTACTGTTACAAACAAGTCGTTTTACATTGCGCTTCTCGCCTCCGCAACAGAGACAAGCTCAGTGGCTGTTCTTCCAGTCCTTCAAGTGGTCAACAATCACCTGTGCCGCCTGTTCCGGCGAGTGTTGTCGCCCCAGTGCCTCTACAAAGTCGCCCTCTGGGTCCATCAGGTAAAAGTATATGCTGTGGTCAACCAAGTAATCCTGGCCGGGCTTCACATCTCGCGGCGTGCTGAAATACACCCTATACTTTTTGCAGAGATCCTTGATCTGATCGTATGTTCCCGTCAAGCCAATAAACTTGGGGTGGAACTCGGCGAGGTAGCTCTTAAGCGCTGGGGGGTCGTCGCGGGCGGGATCGCACGTCACAAAGATGGGCAGAAGTTCATTGTTGGGAATCTTGGCATCGACGATGTCCAGCATGCGGGCCATCTTGTCGAGCTCTTCGGGGCAGATGTCGGGGCAGCGAGTGAATCCGAAATAGACCTGGCCGAGTTAGATTATCCCCCATGACAAGTCATCGCCGGGTCCCAAAGCTTGCTTACCAATGAGTGCTTGCCCTTCATCATCGCGCTGGTAAATGTCTTGCCATTCTGATCCATCAGCTCAAAGGATCCTCCAACCTTGGGACGGCCGACGCCCTTGGTGGCCTCTGCTATTCTCTTTCGCTGCATGCGCTCCTTCTCATGCTCAAAGTACCACACGAGTCCACCGCATGTAGCCACAAACAAGACGGCCGCTTTCAAGGAGAAGGGCTACCCAACGAGTTAGCACAGCTCACGACTCTACAAAGCTGATCAAAAGAATCTAGCTAAATTCAAGAGTCCTTCCATACCCCTGTGCTATACCGGCTCTTGGCCTGCTCAATCGTCTTGTATTTCGTCCGCTTCTGTGTAATCGGCTGTCGGGACTGGACCGGCGATCGTGGGAGGACCGGCCGGAGCTGCTTCGGCTGGAATGCGCCGCTCGAGAAGCATCGCCGGCATTGCTGCGCGGGGAGATTCCGCAGGGCGCCCTGAAGGGCCCTTGATGATGCGATCGAGTGCGACATGGTTTCTGCGCCGCAATTGTTGTTCTTGTTCTTGCGCTATCTTGGTTGAAAGCAAGTTGAAGCTTGCCAAACAAATATCGACAGATGCTGCCCCACCATGCCGCCGTGAGCAAGTTATTGCTTTTTCTGTTTATTAACGCCACTAGCCAGATCCATGTCAAATCGCCGGATATCTGCCGACAGAACATCAATCCTCCCTTACAGCAGTCCTACATACCTGTGAAATGGCCACTGAGAGGCTTAGTCAGGTACAAATTCCGTCTCTCGGTATAAACGCCCCCCAAACGCAGCTCGACAGGACCAACTCAAAGGCTGTAATTGTGATATCTCGTTGTCCCAGAGTCTTGTATGCTGACCAGGGGGATGAATCGTCTTGTGTGGCCGTCTTAAATCTTTTCTGTATTGTGCCGAAGCTGGGGTAGCGCCGCATTTGCCTGTTGGCTGGGAGCAATTTCACTTGCAAGCCTTCATGCTCCTACTCTCAAAGCCTTAACAATGGATCCGACGCGGATAAGCACAGGCGCAGACACAGGGCCCTACATCATGGAGACGCGATTCGAAGTCATTGACGAGGAAATCAAAAGTGAGAGCGCGGTGAACTCGCCCGCTCCACTTCACTCCGATGCCCTCCCGGCCTTCAAATCCTCGACTCCCTTGCCCTCCACAGAAACTGCAGAGACCACAGATCCGGCACCCTCGATGGCGGGCTCAACATCCGCAGCGAAGAAGAAGAAGGGCACCGCCTCTACAATCAAAAAGACTTCAAAACGCCCAAAGTCTGTACGGGACTCCAAAAAGCTCAAGTCCGCCAGATCGACGGTGGGCAGTGAGGCTAACAGCACCGCGGCCGAGGATGCATCCGACGAAGATGACGAGTCTGACAATGGCCCATACTGCATCTGCAGAGGACCAGACGACCACCGCTGGATGATTTGCTGTGAGAGGTGCGAGGATTGGTTCCACGGAGAGTGCGTGCACCTCGCCAAGGATGTTGGAGAGAGCCTCATTGAAAAGTTCATCTGTCCAAACTGCACGACAGACAACTTGATGACGATTTACAAGAAAACTTGCACGCTGGGCTCGTGTCGAAAGGCGGCTCGCCTAACACACAGTCCGCCAAGCGTCTTCTGTTCGGATGAGCATGCTCAGATATGGTGGGAGCGCATGCTGAGCAAGTTGCCCAAGGCTAGGACAAAGGTTGCGCTGAGCGATGAACTGTCTCAGGAAGAGCTCATGGCACTGCTAAGTAGCGATCTTGCCACTATCGATGGGGATGGATCGTGGACTTTGAGGGCGCCATTTTCAGGCAAGCCGTCTGAGATGAATGGAGATGCAACAGGTAAATATTGATGCCCATGGCTTCTCGCTGGCTTTTTTTTTTATCTCTATCCCTGCTGACACCCCTCACAGCAGCTGAAGAGCGTCTCGCTCAGATACTCACAGAAGAAGAGAAGGAATATTTGGACAAAAAGGCAAGCGCTCGATTCAAATTAGCAGAAGAGACTCTTCTGTGCCAAAAGATGATGACGCTGGTCGAAATGGTCCAGGAACGCCGCCGAGCAGCCATCAGCGCCGGCCGAATCGGAGAAGACATATGCGGCTACGACCATAGGCTGGACTCTATTTGTGCGCGAGACGCCTTTGCTGCCTTTGTCAAGTCCCCCGAAGGCGAGACCATCTTCCAAGCATCAAAGGTCGACGACCCCCTGGGAGAAGGCGACGAGGTCAGGGGCATGTGCGAGCGGAAGCGGTGCAAGATCCACAGTGGCTGGCATAAGATGCTGCTCCTTGCTGTTAAGCACCAGATCAAGGAGATGGCGGATCAGGCGGCGGAAGTTGGGGAGGATGAGCGAATACTTCGGGAGGCTGCTGAGGAGAGGTGGAGGAGGAGACAGGCTGAGAGGAACTGGGTTGAGGTGATTGAGGATTGAAGATTTGGGTTCAGCTAGGGAACAATTTCTACGGAAGGGTATCAAATTGGGATATAGGAGTTTTGGGCGTTTCAAGCAAGGAGTTAACCAAGTTTAATGAATCATCTCCAGCTGTTTTCCGATCTGCTACTTGTAGGGCATAAGATGATCTCTTGGCGCTAGCTGATGCCATGTGCAGCTCTCCTACATTATCCATTGACATGCATTCATATTTACTGCAATATTATTCCAAGAGTTTGCACTATTCTTCCCTATTCATCTTGATCAAAGCAAAGAACCGGCCTTTTCAGCTGCCATGTAAAACAGCAACAAGCCTATAAAGCTGCTACTAGCGACCACCGAAGGCGAGCACTCACAATTTGGTGGGGTTCCAAGCCAATGGCGGGGGAGGGGTCAAAGGCAAAAAAAAAAAAAAAAAAAAAATCCTACCAGCATCAAGAAGCCCGAAGATTTTGCTTATCAAGCAGAAGTGACGTCTTGTTCCAGCTGAACAAACAGCTGATTCTTCTTCCGGAATCCGAGATTCTTCTGCTCGTTTTTCCTTCGCCATCAATTTCCTTTCTTTAATTATACCCTCTGTCGAAAGGCGACCGAGCTGTCCTCTCCTTTTGCATCTGTTCAAAACTCCCATTCTACCCTTGTCCACCCGTCGCATCGCAAAAATGTCTGCTTCTAACCGCCCCGAGGACGAGGTTGACGACGACCTCCTCGATGCTGAGGATGTGGGAGAAGAGGTCGCCGACGACGATGACCTCACCATGGACTCCGACAACGAGGAACTCATCCTCCATAACGACTCGATTGCCTTCTTCGACCTGCCCCAAGACTCTCTCTTCACCATTGCGCAACACCCAGTTCACCCTTCGCTCATCGCCGTTGGCGGTTCTGCCGGTGAAGCCGACAATGCGCCTGGAGCTGGCTGGCTCTTTGATGCTTCCGCTGCCCAGTCGCGCCCTGTGCTCCCCGCGAGCTACGCCAGCGATCCTTCTGCCCAGCCTCAGACAACCCAGCTCGAGAGCCTGTATTCTCTACAGGGCCACACAGACTCCATCAACGCCCTAGCCTGGACTCTTCCTCAGGGCGAGGTCCTTGTAAGTGCAGGCTTGGATGGCAGGGTTAAAGCCTGGAAGACGGACGTTCAGCCCTCTACGGGCGTCAAGGTCACTCTCCTCGGAGAGGCGCAAGAGGTCGAAGAGATCAACTGGGTTGCGCCCTGCCCTTCGCCTTCAAATCCCAACACCATCGCCCTCGGCGCCAACGACGGTTCCGTCTGGGTCTACACAATTGATCCCTCCGACTCCTCCAACCCCCTCCAGATCGTCCAGTCCTATTTCCTGCACACTGCTTCTTGCACAGCTGGAGCATGGACACCCGATGGCCAGCTTCTGGCGACCGTTTCCGAAGACGGCAGCTTATACGTCTGGGATGTGTGGGGGCTTGCTGCTGCACAGGGCCTTACCAACGACAACGGCATGACAGCTGTGTCACTGACGGCCGAGGATCAGCGATTCGAGGTTGAGGGCGGTCTATACTCCATTGCCATTGACCCCAAGGGCGCATTCCTCGCTACCGGCGGTGCTGGCGGCGCTATCAAGATCGTCTCTCTTCCCCGTCTTACAGCTGCCGCGCCAGCGAGGTCAGCTCGAGGTGGCAAGTCTGCCGCCGACCCAACCACTGGTGGGCAGATCCTGGCCTCACTTCACAGCCAGACCGACAGCGTCGAGACGATTGCCCTGTCAGTTGCATCAACGAACCCTCCCACTACTCTTCTGGCAGCCGGCTCTGTAGACGGCTCCATCACCGTGTTCGACGCAACCCGTCGCTTTGCTATCCGAAAGAACCTTGTCGGTGCTCATGAGGAGCACTCCGTCGTCAAGGTTGAGTTTGTGCCCAACTCATGGCTGCTCACAAGCTGCGGCATGGACGGTGTCGTTCGACGATGGGACTTGCGAGCCAGCGGCGCTACTGGCGGCGCCGAAGGAGGAAACTCTGGCTTGCTAAAGGAGTGGAGGGGCCACAGAGGCGACGGTGAGGGAGGCGGTGTTTTGGGTTTTGTGCAAGGACAAACTGGAGAGAGATTGGTGACGGCTGGTGACGATGGTGTTTCATTGGTTTTCGAGGCGTAAATGAGGTATAGATGCAATGGTAGAGGCGGAGAGGGTATGAATTAAAATGAACCTGCCCATCATCCTGGCGGCTTTGGATACCAGTTGTTATCCTTCTTTGTTTCGTCGTCTTTACACGGAAGTGACATTTATAAGTCCATGTCCCAAAGGTGTTTAAATACCTGTTTCAACCAACCCGAGTAATAAGCATCCAAATTAGCTTATTGAGGATCTCCGAGCGCCGAAATATGGGCATCGTTTTTTTGAAAAATCAAGAATCAAAGATGACCCATTTACATAATAACACCCTCCATCCAGCCAGCAGATTGATTGTACATGACTGCATCTGCTCTCATACTCTCCCAAAGCTTCCAAGAGCTGATGCTGCCTTATCGATTGTGTCCGGGGTTACTTTGTTCCCACAGCTCCAGAGTGGGGGCTGGCCCAGGCCGGGATTACATACGCTGAGGACGTCAGGCAGGTGCCTCTTGCGTTACCCACAGCAGCCTCGCCAATCACTATCAGACCAGACCAACCCTCCCACCCGAGTTCGAATCGTTTGCGAAGCATCATCGAGCCGAATTTGCATCTTCAATTCCCGACCGGCGACTCCCAGATCCCGAATACGACACGCTCCTCCAGCATCTCCTTCCAGCCGCCGAGTCGACGCCGCACGCCACAATGTCCGAGGCAACCCTCAAGCCCGAGAAGGACTTCTCCAAGGAGGTTGACCAGCAGCTCCCAGAGGCTGAGAGCCTGGCCAAGGTATGATTCTCCTTGCTGGACACGTACTTGTGGCTTGTATGAGTTAACGTGTTTGAGCAGACCAACCTCCAGGGCGCAATCGAGAAGCTCGCCGCTCTTGAGAAGCAAACCCGCCAAGTAAGCCAACTCACACCAGCTCTAGCTTCCAAAAGCTCCCCTGACACTTGGATAGGCCTCGGATCTTGCCTCGACATCCCGAATCCTCGTGGCAATTGTCACATTATGCAAAAATGCCGGCGACTGGAGCTTAATGAACGACCAAACGCTGGTCCTGTCGAAGAAGCACAGCCAGCTCAAGCAGGCCATCACCAAGATGGTCCAGACCGTTGTCGGATTCCTCGATGACACTCCCGATCTAAAGACGAAGCTCTCCGTCATCGAGACGCTGCGAACAGTCACTGAAGGAAAAATCTTTGTCGAAGTCGAGCGCGCTCGTGTCACCAAGATCCTCTCCGACATCAAGAAGCAGCAGGGCGACGTCAAGGCAGCCACCGAGATTCTGTGCGAGCTTCAGGTGGAAACATTTGGCTCCATGGACCGACGAGAGAAGACAGAGTTCATCCTGGCCCAAGTTGCGCTCTGCATTGAGAGTGGTGACTGGACACAGGCGGCCATTCTGGGCCGAAAGATCAGCACAAGGTACTTGGCGCGAAAGCCCAAGAAGACGGCCGAGCAGCTGGAAAAGGAACAGAAGGAGCGTGAGAAGAAGAAGGCCCGCGGAGAGGAGGTCCCAGAGGAAAAGGAGGATGACACAACGGATCTGAAGCTGCGCTACTATGAGCAGCAGATTACACTGGCGAAGCATGAAGACAAATACCTGGACGCATGCAAGAACTACCGCCAGGTTCTTGATACCGAGGCTGTCGAAGAAGACGCCGCCAAACTCCGCCCTGTAAGCCTGCGCCTTGATTCTATCATACCACTTTTGTTTCAGATGCTAATATCTTGTCGTGACAGGTTCTCCAACGCATCATCTACTTTGTAATCCTTGCTCCCTACGACAACGAACAACACGACCTCCTTCAGCGCATACACAGAGACTCCCGAAACTCTCAGGTTTCCGAGGATGCTGAGCTTCTCCGGCTCTTTACAGTCCACGAGCTGATGCGGTGGCCCGAAATCGCCAAGAGGTTCGGCCCGCATCTGTGCGGCACCGACGTCTTTGACGCTCAGCCCGGACAGTCTGCAGATGAAAAGGCCAACCAGCGGTGGGAGGACTTGCGCAAGCGCGTTATCGAGCACAACGTTCGGGTCATTGCCAAGTACTACACTCGCATCCAGTTGAGCCGCCTCACCGAGCTCCTTGACCTTGCGGAGGATGAGACAGAAAAGTACATTAGTGAATTAGTCACCTCCAAGACTGTGTACGCCAAGATCGACCGGCCGGCACGAATCGTCAGCTTCGCCAAGCCTAGAGACGCAGACGATGTCCTGAACGAGTGGAGCCACAACATGAAGAGCTTGCTGGGGCTCTTGGAGAGGATCGACCACCTCATTACCAAGGAGGAGATGATGGCACGCATCCAGCCAACGGGATCTAAATAGACGGCTGATTGGGAGGCAGGGGTCGGCATGGCGCATTGAAAAGGAGCAATATTACAATGAATACTTGCGGGCACGGCTTTGGTGGGGATTTTCACAGCTTGTAATGATACGGCTTAGATAGTCCTCGGAAGGAAATCTGAGGTTATGTAACGCTTATGCGATGCTTGTGTCGATTTCCTTTATATTTCCCCCGTGGCTCGCCTTGCTAAACTAAAACAAACAAATCACTCTAATAAGTCTAGGGTTCTAGTTTTGTGTCTATCGCTCAATGATTCCATCTCTTCTCGGTCGTCTTCTGCTTCTTTATAAACTTGCCCTCTACTCGGCGGCACTCGCGTGGTTCTTGATAAATCCAGCCAGGGGCATCACCCATTCCTTGGACACAGGGACGTGATGGCCACCAGGATGAACCACAACGAGAGGCTCCTCACACCGATCAACCAATCCCTGGCTTCGGCTCTCATCGACGACGGTGTCCAAGCTACCAAGGTAGTGAAGCGTCGGCGTCTTAATCTTGGGTTCATACAGCCACTCCAGGTCAGGAATGCCGGCGTAAAAGCCAGAATATGAAATGGCAAACTTGACAGGCCGGCTGCCATTCGCCTCTCGCAGCTTCCGAGCCCAGTCTCCTTTTGGGCCATCCAAGACAGTCCTCGAAGGCTCCAACGCGGCAGCAACAAAGGCTGCCATGGCACCGCCCTGACTGAACCCACAGACGCCGTCGATGCCGCCGGCCTCGCGAATGGAATCGGCAACGACGGCCATGCCCTCGTCGAAGAGGCGGTACGAGTTGGTGGCGTCGTCTTTGCGGAACCAGCCCCAGGTGTCGGGGAGGTCGTCGTCGGACAAGGGGGCGTCGCCACCCTGCGACTTGAAGCCGGGGATGTCGGAGGGGAGGAGGCGGTTGGGGCCGGTTGGGTAGAGGAGGACGGGGAGGAGGGAGATTGGGGCGAGGGTTTTGGCGAGGAGTTTTTCTAGGGCGCGGGTTTTTGCGCGGAAGAGGGCGCCGGATTGTGTGTAGCCTTTTTATTGTGTCGTGTTAGTGTTTTGGGGTTGATGTGAGATGAGATGAGATGAGATGGGATGGGAGTGAGTCAAGACTGTTGAGATAACGGGGTTGAAGATGGCATGATGAAAGTATGCTTTACTGAGAGAGAGAGAGAGAGAGAGAGAGAGAGATAAGGTCGTACATACCGTGAATCATTAATATCTTGACTTCCTTCTTTGCGCCATTCTTCTGAGCCTGCTGTTCAGGCCGAGGCGTGCCAATCGGCGTAGACGCTGAAGACATTGCGCGGGGAGTGAATGCTGATGTACGAGGGGTATACGAAGAACGAAACGTGAGAAAGAAAGACGGCGGTCTAGATTTGCAAGATTTGAACAAAAAAGAGTGCATCTAAAGGGGTGTAAGGGAGTGTGTGAGCGGAAAAGGATGTGAGTTGGATGACTGTATATCTTGAGTCGGGAGTTGACTTAGTAATCCGTGGCTGACGAGGGAAAAAACTAGAAGTTCTGTAGCCGTAGCGGAAGCCGAGATAAGCTTGGGGGGAGCGAAAGATATGCAATTGATTGGTTTGTATGGCTTTGGATGAAAGAGTGACGGAGAGCTCTATCGTCTTTCCCGTATATACCAGGTATGTATTTATTATTTTGATATACGAGAATCTAGCTTGCATTGCAGCTTACACATGAGCTTGGTGTACGAATGAAAAGTTGAAGCACATCCCAGGGTAGCCTTGATATCAAGGCAAGGCCTTTCACATATGCTTCCAAGCTGCCCAACACTCGTTTCTCTCTCGCAATACGTAAGGGCGCAGGTAAATAATGCTCTCACAGCTTCACAAATTTCCAGCACAATACCTGTAATTGTCACAGCTCATAGCACTTGTTGCTTGTTCATCACAAAGGTCTATTCAGCCCTGAACGCGAGTCTATGATACAGTGCAGCGACGACTATCGCGCTGCATGCTCTCGAGCCATCCGAGTATATAACCCTTCCTCCAACTTCCTTCGCAATCCATTTCCCCCCTTTTTATGCGATTTAGTGAGCCTTGTTGCCCGCCTTGGCGTTGGGGTTGCGAGGGTCGTTCTTCCACTCGTCGGCTGTGCAAATAGTGTCAGTCCATCAAGAAAGGTTCCAGCAGAAGAGGTTCGAGGAGGGGCGCATACAGGCCATCATGGCGTTCTGGGCAGAGTTGGCGCCATAAGCAATAACCAGGCCTGTGGAGTTTTTTTCCCATGTTAGTCAACGCTTCGTTTTTTCCCGCCCAAAACCACGATACCAGCAATGTCCCGGCGCATAGTCGACGCAGCCACCGTTTTCAAAACCGATCGAGGATATTGTTCGCCAAACAAATCACATACCGGCGGCAAAGAAAGGCCAGTAAGGTTTCACTGCAGGGCGGGATTGAATTGTCAGTTTTCCCAACATCGGTATTTCAGAGAGGAATTGTCGGCGCGGGGGACGTACGGAAAGGAGCCGGGAACTTCTTGAAGGGGACGACGCCGAACCAAGACATGATGGCGGTGTTGCGGAGGTCGTGCGAGGGCGGCGGGTTGAGTTGAACGGGGGAGTGGACGAGGTTGGCTGGTGAAGTTCTTCAAAACGAGCCTTTTTCCCTTTAGTCCAACCAGAGGCTTCGGAGCAGCGATTCCAACGGTAGCCGAACGAGGATGTGCTGCCTAAGGCATTCAATTCTCAATTCGACCGGCCGGTACCTGTTGCGATGTACCATAGTTCCCAGCAAAAGCACATGATATGTCACATGATATTCAGATTACATAACCTCTATTTTTCCTGGCTCCACAGCACCACTAGTGTGACATCATGTCCCCCAATCCTGCTTGTGCCTTTCTTCTCCGCACCGAAAAGCGGAGTGACGGCGTCTTTGTAGCTGGTACGGCGTCGAGCTCCATCTTCCCCAGGTTTCGACTTGGACTTGGATTTGTACAAGTTACTGCACTCATTCCTCATTCCTGCAAGCCTCAAGCCTCAAGCCTCAAGATCACAAACAAACACCAGCCATCAACCAAGAATCTCGCCTCGCCCAATTGCATCAATCCCCTCTTCTCTTCAATCTATTTGTCCGCCCGGCTGCACACACTCAACAGCCTCGCACCAATCGCCGCCGTCCAATTAACCCGAAGCGACCCCCATCGGGCATCTGGTAGTGCGGGGTGAGCTCCCTTGCTGCAACGTGCCTCTTCTTGGCTACTCGGAGCTCTTTCGTCTCTGCCTCTCCAACCGCGCCAAATTAACACAGTATCCAATCGGCCCTTACGCCTGCCCTCCATCACAGCTGCCTGTCTTGTGCTTCCCGCCACTCAAACTGCTCTCTGCTCTCTACTCCCTGCCTTGTCGCAAAGACCTTGCCGCTTCTTATCAGCAAAGCAAGACAGACTCGATCCTCTAGCCTGTGCCCTGAACGCTCTAGGCCTGCAGCTCTAGAGAGGTTTTGTCTTTGACTTTGGCCTTGTCTGAAGCTTCAACTTGTCGCCTTGCGTCTTGTCCACAACGTCATTATGCTTGCTCAGAGGTTGTCTCGCCGCGCCGCCGCCGCAGCTCCGCGTGCTGGCGTGCGCGCTCTGGCCACAACAGCCTCGAGGCAGACGCATACGCCGTCGATGGGCGACATCAACCCCACGGCGGGCGCGGTCGAAACCTTCAACGAGAAGCAGAGAGCATTCAGAGAGCAGCTGGTGGAAGCGCAGAAGGAACGGGGAGCTCGTGCGTTTGGATCCCAGAACTTGCCCGACCCCGCCACCCCTAACCAAAGCTCATCTCAAACCGCTGCAGGAGCTACGGCCTCGGCCCAGAGTGGCGAGCCTGATCGCAAGCAAGGGCCGCTGACGAACCTCATCTATGGCACTAAGGAAGGCAGAGAGATGGAGGCCCAGATGGAGGCCAGCTTCAGCCAGGTCCTGGCTAGAGGCAAATACGTCCACTCCATTGTGTTCCACGAGGTCCAGCCGGACAAGGTGGACGAGTATGTCAAGCTCACGGGCGAATTCTACCCCAAGATGGCCAATACGCCCGAGAACAAGGTTCACCTGGTCGGAAGTTGGCGAACAGAGGTTGGCGACTGCGACACCTTTGGTAAGGATGGCCCTACGCATGCTTTGCCCTCGTCGCAACTCTCTGCTAATCTTTTCCCCACTCACAGTGCACATTTGGGAGTACCAGCGGTACGAGGGCTACCACGAATCCCGACACTCCATCTCCCACCATCCCGACTTTGCCGATTTCAACAAGAAGCTCAGCAAGTTGATCACTTCCAAGAAGATTTCTCTGATGCAAGAGTTTTCCTTCTGGCCTACCACTCCCCCGCGCGAGCTGGGCGGTGTCTTTGAGCTTCGATCATATACTCTCCACCCCGGCAACCTGCTGGAGTGGGAGACTCACTGGAGAAGGGGCCTCAAGGCTCGAAGGGAGGTCATGGAAGGCGTTGGAGCCTGGTTCGTCCAGATTGGAGAGCTCAACACGGTCCACCACCTCTGGCAGTTTGCCAATCTTGAGGAGCGAAGGGCCCGCCGAGAGAAGAGCTGGTCGGTTGAGGGCTGGAGCGATACGGTGCACAAGACGGTGCCTCTGATCCAGTCCATGCAGTCCAGGATCCTCATCCCCATGCCCTGGTCGCCTGTCGCATAAGCCCCTGTTTCTCCTGCTTTGCAATCAGTTTTCGGTGCATTGGATTTCAAGATTGAGTTGTCTATTTTTGGCGGCGTCAAGGGTGACTTTCATGGAGGAGGAATTGTATATACTGTATATGCAAGAGAAAGGCATGAGGAGAGCATCATATATGTAAAGTTTACTTCTTTTTCTTTAAATTTATACAAATCATCTATAGCTCTTTTGCTTTTCCAATTGTGACTGTCAAGATCGAGCTAGGACAAAGATTTATTTTCGGGGGTATTTGCATGTATATGCTGCCAATCCAAACAGAGATGTCGTTAAAAATGACGGTTACGTATGTACAAATCATCGCAAACACCATCTATCATGATGCCCAAGAATACTGGCTACTACGTGTACGTCTTCAACTGCACACTCAGGACGGCATCCAAGTTCCGCCGCGCCTGGTCAAGCATAATGTTCAGGTATCCTAGTTTTGAATAGAGCGAGATGAGACTGGGATCCGCGCTCTCCACTCGGACCTTTTCCCGCACGTAGACTTCTTCCAGCTGAGAATTCGAAACCGTCCTCGTGATAGGAGGCTGAATGCTGTGATTGGCGGCCAACCGCCGGGTATCGGACATGTCGTCTCCGCCGGGCTTGTACTTGAACACAATGTCGGCCTCGTCGTGTTCGAGGCGTCGGTACGTGCCGATAGCGAGACCGAGCTTCGTGCCGAAATGGACGGGCGCGTCGACGGGCTCGAGGGCGCGCATGACGAGCACAATGCTGCATTCCTGGAGGGTGACGTAGAAGCTAAAGTTTTGCGTCAGGGGAGGCGAAAAGTGCGATGACGGACAGGACTGGGTGGTCCAATTCGTGTCTTGCTCGTTCAAGGGCGGTCCCTTGAGGAGGACGATGGAGTTGGAGATGGAGTCGGCGAGGAGACGCAGCCCTGAGGAGAGGGCTTGCGCCTGGTTGGCAGTAGATGATGAGGCGTCGGCTTCGGCGTCGGAGGACTTGCTGTTGGATAGTAAGAGGCCGAGGAGGTCGATGGATTCGGTTAGATGCGTGTGGAGGGTGTCGAGTGCGTGTATGTGGATGGGGAATGCTTGCGAGAGGGTGAGTGTCTGTTGCGCAACGGTTCGAAATTGGAGGCCGAGAGACTAAGAAGCGCAAATTGCGTGTATCAGTAAAGCCATTTCCACGCCACATTGTTTTTTTGCGACAAGTATCCCACTTACCCCCTTGACGATGCGCGTGCCGACCCGAGTGATGGTGCCCTTGACTCGCTCGTTGCGCGGCGTGCTCATGACCAGAGTGCTGCCAGGATCAACCGGCGCCAGCAGAGCGTAACAGTCCTCCAGGCCATGCTTGAGGTCCTCGCAGGTCTGGAGGGTCCTCGCGACGATCCAAGCCAGCTCGCGTTTCTTGAAAGATATCAGCATTCTTGCGTTTTTTCCCCTCCCCGTTTTTGCCTGTGCTGCTCAGCTTGCGCGCGCCATCAAACTACCGACCTGGGCTTCAGCGACTTTTATGCCGAGCTCCCCTGGGGACACGGGAGGCCAGATGTCCAGAGACATGGCTGTTCAGCGGTGGGTGAGAATGGTCGGAGCCTGGGATACAGGCAGCCATTCCCTCTGAGGAAGAGGCCAGTTTCGAGGGTTGGTGAAGCTGGGAAACGAGAGGTTCTAGCTACCTATGAGTCGGACGGGATGACGTTCCTGGCAGTGCTATGGCTGGTTCGCCGTGGTGGGGCGCAGAGCCGATAACAGGCGCCGATAAGAAAAAGCGGGCTGGCGAAGAACTAAGGTAGGAGCAAGTGCCAGGCAGTCATGATTTATGAAAGTCTTCCTCTCATATTACCTTTTTCTTTTTTTTTTTTTTTTTGCGCGACAGATATTGGCAACAGAGCCGCTTGTTGTCGCTTCGTTTGCGTCTCTATATTCACTCTTCTTTTACTCATTCGTCTCTTAATTAATATTGGCGGTTCTCATTGAATGGTTTTTTTTCTTCGCCATTACTGTTGAGCTAAACTCTTGGGAATCCGAAGAGGCTCCCTGAAGCCAATCACCACCCAGCGGCTGATTCGCCATGTCACAACAAGAAAACGCCTTGTCTGAGCTGATGCCTGGGGCGGCGAGCAAGATGGCCCCAATTCCCCAGGGTAGGCACATTACTATCACCGGCACTTGAGGACACGGTTAAATCTTTGAAACGTCTCTAACGGTCGGATTCTAGGCGCCAGGATTCAGAAGCGTCCCCTCACTCGACGCCAGCTCCCAGCGTCGTCCAAGACGCCGGTCATTTACGTGTCCTCAAATTCTCCCTTCATGTCCGTCGTGAAGCGGACCAGGAAGTTCTTGGACAAGGACCTGCGTAGTAATACTTCTGCTGCCAAGAATGTATCCTTGCACGCCCGCGTTGAGGCGCTGAAGAGAGGCGGTGCCGGTGGGACGGCCCGTGCAGCTGTGGTGACGGTGATGGGCACAGGTAAAGCTATTGAAAAGACTCTAAACGTCGCAAGCTGGTTCCAGCAGCAAGGGGACTGCGTTGTTGAGATTAAAACACGGACCATCGGGACAGTAGACGATGTGGTTACGGGGGATACAGACGACGCGTTTGGGGCCGACAACGAAAGCCGGTTGAGGAAGCTCAATTGCTTGGAAGTTGCCATCAGCCTGAAGTGAACGGCTCCCAGAACAGAAGCATTACGAGAAAGCACCAATGGCAAGATGGAGAAAGGGGGATCATCAGGTCTCGCTGCAGGATGACGTCTATTAGCGATACGCAAAGCAGTGAGCTCTTATGCAACCACTGCGAGAATCTCGCTGACCAAACAATTCCCCAGCAGACAAGCAACATCAATAAACAAACGAACAAACAGGAGCGAGGATGAACACACGCTTATTATAATAACGCCGAATGCGCCGCCATCAAACAGGGAACACCTCACAAGAACCAACCCCACAGATGTCTCGACAAAGCGTCAAATTAACAGGATTTCTTTCGCTTCAAACCTCCCCCATGCCCAGTTCCGTTACCGCCTCATTAGAGAAAAAAAAAGATGAAAGAGGCCCGTACTCCGATCCCGATGCAGGCCCATTACCGCCAAACCAAAAAGTAAACCGACGCCGAAAATAAAAATACTCCGGGAAGAATATAAAAAACTCCACGCTTCAAACTCCGCAAATCTGCCGTCACCCGGGCGAGTCATCGTGATTCCGCCATACCGTTGAGAAGAGAGAAAAGAAAAAGAAAAAAAAAGCAGTCCGCCGGCGCCGCCCTTCCCTATGCTTTGTGTCGTTGGTCTCGCAATAACAAATTTTTGTCCAGAGAAATTCGGGTTATGCTTGTGGCACAATACGTCTTTTCCCGATAGATGGCCTTATGCTGCCTGTCTTCAAGTGAGGCGATAGGCGCTTTGATCACTAGTTAGCCTTGCTTGGGAAGCAAATCACGACATGATTGGGTGATCATCTACTCACTCGATAACGAGCTCTTCACCTCGCCACACACCACTGGCGACCCAGAGCCCACAGTTGACGAACTCGGCATAGCGCTTGTCTGCCGTCTTGACTGTGGCAAAGGTCCGAAAGCCGTATTGACGGGGATCAATGTTCTCCTTTGACTCCCGGGCGCTGAGCAGGGTATCGAGTACGTCACATGGACCCGACAGCGACCCTCGCGTACGCATCTCCAGCATGGCCGGAGGTTGGTCGGTAGTCTGCAGGACGAATGCGCCCTCAACGATGCGAATCGGACGAAAACCCCGTGCCTGCCCGAGATCATATCCGCCGGCCTAACGATTTGTCAGCTGATTTTTTTCATCCTCGTTTTTTTTGGGTGCATGTCATGTCTGGCACGGGCCGGAAAGGGTTCGGAAACTCCAGGGTGCATCATACCATGACTCGACCGTTGCCAAATGATCCGGACCACCTGCCTCCCTTGATGGTGGTGATCTCCTTTTGGACACGGTTCTCAATTCTGGAGGGCTCCGGATTGAGTGCGACGGCGATGCGAAAGTCGAACTCGAGAGTAGGCATGGCGAAGGAGACGCCCGGACAAGGAAAGTGCTCCAGCGATCGCTTGCAAGCTTCCTCTACGCTCCTGTACGAGGACAAGAGGTTGGATGTTAGCCAGTAATCGGAGCTCGGCCTGCGCTTCAAGGGCCTATCGCACTCGTCGGGGTTAAGCTGCGCGACGTACTTGCCCGTCGCCGTGGCATCGCCTGCTTGATCCTGCTGCAGAGGCTGCTGTGTCTGGTGCGGAGGGCTCGTCGCGGAGTTGCTCGGGCCGCCTAGCTTGGCGGGAAAGCCAAAAGTCGCGGTGATGGTCGTGTCCCACTCATCGGTACACCATTCTCGCTTGGTGCCACGGAACTGATGCTCGTCTTGAGGCAGACATGTTGACGCCGCGACCTCTGTAGGGGCCGTGGTGGTCGGGAGAGAGAGCGTCTCGGTGTCGGTTGCCATTTATTCCAGTCGAAAGAGAGGGAGAGGGAGAGGGAGATGGAGAGCGTGTGGGTGTCCTTGTTTTTTGTCTCTTTAAGCTCTTGCGTCCGAGTACCGGATCGACCCTGGCGACTTGCAGAAATCTCCACTGTCACTGAAACCCGAGGCGGCCGCGGAGAGGATGTCGAGATTGAATCGAGCAATGGGCGACGTCAATCTACGTTTATCGGTTTCTTTGATGAAACAGGTTGGAGCGCATCAAGATCAAGACGATGGGATGTCGTCTGTTTTTGGTAGGGGAGGGGGCCCCGAAGGCTGGTCGGCAGCGGAGAGATGGGTATATGAATCTCACAATCAGGCTCCGCTTTTGGATAATCCCGGTGGGGTGTATGAGCAAATGTGTGTATGTGTATGTGTATGTGTATGTGTACTATATGTACGAGGGTATGTAACCGGTACGTCCCGGGGCAGACAATGTTTATACGGGCGGAGGAGGTGCTTTGCCGCAGTCGCTTGCTGAGTGAGCGTGTGGTTGGGTAATTGGTAATACTGGATTACTTGGAGGGGCAGCTGAGGACGTTTTTTGCTCTGATCGGACTGGATGGGACGGGGGGGCAAGGTTTAAGGTCCTATTACCGGATGTCCGCCAGACCCGGCCGAGAGAGAAGAGAGGGCTGGAGACTTTTGAGGCGGCGAGCGAGGGAAAGGCTGGGGCAGCGAAGGAGTTAAGCAGGAGAGAAGAAGAGAGAAGAGAGGAAAAAGGGACTGGTATTTGGTGGCGTGCCCCGTGTCTAAGTGGTAGCGCGTGTGAGGGTGTGAGTGTGAGTGTGTGTGTGTGTGTGTGCGTATGTTTTTGCGCTGGCAGCGAATGAAGAAATGACCAAGCAAGAACAGAGACAGAGCAGAGCAGAACAGAACAGACAAAGACAGCGAAGGCGAGGGAAAGGCGATGGCGAAAAGACAAGAGCTGAATGGGTAACAAAGTCCGAAGTAGGTAAGTGAGATAAGGTACAAGTACAGCAAGGCAAAGGGCCAGGCGGATGGAAGGCCGGAGTACCTGCGAGTACTTGGGCGTTATAAAATCCGAATGATTTCAAATGCGGGTCGCGGATTCGCGCAGGCAAGAATAAGCGAAACTAAGCGCTACTCGTGGGCAGGATTGGGCAAATTAGCGTTTCCGCAGCGAGGAAATTGGGGGAGAAGAGAAGAGAGACAGAGGATTGGGATTGGGATGGGAGGGGATGGAATCGGATCGGGATGCACGGTCATGATTACGGAGTGCAGATTTGATTTCACGGCGCGAGCAGCAGCATCTCGATGCGTCGATGGACGCTTGGGTAGCAATACTACACTGTACGGTACATACGGCTGAACAGGTATCTTAGTAACCTTATTAAAGTCCATGATAAACCTGAACCCGGGCCTGAACACGTAGGCCGTGTGGCTGCTGCGGCATGGACGAGTACTCGGACGGGTACTTGTACACTCGTACGAGTACGCACAGAGATGGATTCATTTCTTACGACCTGACTGATGATGCTACAAAACGGTTGGAGTGGGTACCCGTTGACTCTTTACTCGATTCGATGTCTTGCCTGGTGCCCGTTTTTCGCAAAAAGTACATGTGCGGTACATGCCATGCCATGCCATGCCATGCCACCTGGGGACGATAAGCTGGTGGTGCCAGAAAAACTGCCTGATGTGTCCGTACTCCGAGTGGGCTGCGGGTGCGGACTAACAGACAACTGCGAAACGGGCAGAAACAGTACAAGTACACACGGGCGGACGAAATGGAAAACAGGTGCGGAATTAGTAGTGCTGCGTACAAGCCATGTATGTACCTTGTCTTGTCCGGGTTCTGTTTCTGTTATAGACGAGAGCGAGAGAGAGAGAGAGGGGGGCACAAATTTTTATTTGATTTGGTTTATGCGGACACGGAACGGTAGGTACAAAGCGTAATATATACACACGCACCGGGCATTTGATTGTTTCTTTTCCAGGCGAGGGCCGGAATTAGAAATTAGAACTACTTTGCAGCCAGTGCGGCGAGAAGAGAAAAAAAAAAAGGCGCCGGGCTGAGCGGTGGCCGAATCGGCGGGCTGCGGACCGAGGAAGTCACGGTAATATGTGCCTCTGTAACCACGAGGGGAAAAAAAAAACACGAAAGGAGGGAGGGAAAGGGGATTGAAAGGTAAAAGGGAAAGGGGAAAAGATGGGCGATTTTTTTTTTATCTGCATTGACGGTGCTCATGTTATTATGTCTTTGTTCATCTTATTGACCCTATGCAGCTGTGTTATATGTGGTCTCTTCTTACGGCAGTTGCTAGGCACCTTTTACTCTTTTACCCCAATTTTGGCAAAATGAAAAATATGAAGGGTTTCCTTGATGTGGTGAGTTTGATTAGATTCCGCTGGATTTTAGGGAGATGGGCTGCCGGGGGGTTGGGGCTGGGCAGGTTTACAGTGGCCATGGCATTTCGCATTGGCATTGGATGGCATCAAGACGGAGTTGTGTGTGTGCGTAGGTACAGTACTGTACGAGCGCGGTACTTGCAGCATGAGTTTGAAGTGCTTTAGCCGCGGAAATCCAGCCAGCCAGCCAAGCCCGGCGTTGTTCACGTCAACGGACTACGGAGTACAGGTGCTTTGAATTGCTTTTGGTTTGCATGCGCCGGTGGCCCGGAGAACCAAGATTCCTGGCGCCCGTGGTCCATTGCAGTGGCTGTAGGTTTTTGTGAGTGGGTGGTTGGTTGGGCAGAAAGAAGAGAAGAGAAAAGAAAAGGGAACATGAAGAAATTGGGGGGGAGAGAAGTACCTCAGAAGTATCTCCCCTTTCGGAGCATTTCTTCTCTTCTTCTTTTTTTCGCTTGCTCGCGTTTCCTGCTGCAATTACTACAGGTACCTACGCTGCCGTGTACCTACAGTGCTGTTCTTCTTCTTCTTCGTCGGCGGGATTGTCGACCCGGAGTACCTGACGCTCTTGCTGGGGGGTGGTTGAGCTGGCGGATAATCCCCCGATGGGTCGGAGGGAGAGGTGTACACAGGGGGGTACTTGCAAGCTTCAGGTGCTACAGGCAAAGCTGTACTTGTACTGTATTGACTGCATTTTGCTTGGACTTTTGCCTTTTTTCTTTTCTCTTTTTTCCCTTTTCCGGAATTTCCCACTGTAGCATGGTGGTACGGGACGGGACATGGGTACAAGGACATGGGCAGTGTGGAATATTCGGTGTTCCGAAGGGGTGGTACATACTGCATCATGACGATGCGTTTACATGTGCTTCTCGGGGCATTGAATCGCTGGCGACGGAATGTTTCCTACGATATAGCTCTGGGCTTGGCTTGCTGGGCTTGTCTCCTTGTCGATTGCTCGTGTGCCTGGTTGTTTTCTTCTTCTTTCCTTCTGTAGAATTCCTCACTCGGGCATGGGTTCATTATTACTGCCGGTAGTGTTGCAAGGTACATGAAACCGTGTGGACTTGGGTCAGCCCCAAGAAGCCGGGATTAAAAAAAAAAGAGCCCAAAGCAAAAGGGTGCAGCAGTGACATTCATTTTTTCTTGGGGCTGGCTAATATTAACCAGACGAATTTCCATGGGAGGGTCGGAGAATGGGCGAAGTGGTTTTCTGGGGTGGGTTTGTTTTGTTATCTCCGTTGTTTTGCTAGCTCGATATAGGCGTGGTTGGCCGAAATGGTTTGATTTCTCTTTCGGCTTTTTTTCTTTTTCCTTTTCTTCTTTTTTTGTTCGTCGTTGGGGGGTTTTTTTTTTTTGTTAAGAGTTCGGAATCGATCCGATGTCGAAGACGGAATGCGTTTACTTTCTACTTTTCTTGGTGTTGTTGCCGTCTGGTTGGTTACCATCCTGTCCTCCACAATCCGGCGTTGATGATGCTGTTCTTGGTAATACTTCTGTCAACGAATCCATCCATGTAGAATCAAAGGAAATACTATTATTTGATGCTCCGTAATACGCATCATCGTACAGTAAACGCTGAGTGATGAGCTTGATTGAAGCTGCAAAGCTCAAGCTCAAGTACGTACAGCACACACGGCAGATGCCGCGTGGAGCCTCCCGAAACACGTCCCAGCCGTGACTCGAAAGTACCTCCCAGGTACCTACAATACCCCAAAAACCATCCGTCTGTTCAAAACTCCACCACGAAGTACCCAACGAGTAAAAGGAAGAGGCGCGCGCGACGGAAGACCGAGCATGTCCTTTTTTTTGCGTATTCCATCTTTTTGCTGTTGATGTTACCGCAATCCTTCGTTGCCGTTCGAGAAAACGGCCTGTATCGCTTTGCCGTGTCGGCCTTTCCACGCGTTCCGAAGAGCCATTTTTACCAAGAATACGGGAGATGAACCGATTCAATACTCCGTCCAAAATAATACATGATTTAGACATCAATGCTATCTGATACTGTATGGAATTCCTGTTGACATCGTATCGAGGCGGCCCCGGGATAGAGGGAAGAGACGTAGCATCTATCACCGAGTGCCGGGAAGCCCGCGCCACGTCTCACTCTCACTCTCTTGCCCCAGCGCCGGAATTACAGAATAATTACTTTGCCGCCGCGGGTCCTTGGCGCAGTGGGAAAAGCCCGACAGCGCGGCGGTGTTTGTGTTTGCTGTGTCTTTGCGGTGTTCTTTTACCACGAAAGTTCTTGGAGACTTTCGGGCTTTGGAGGGAAACCGGATTCGCGGGTCGTTGTCCGTCTCCTCCCCCGTTGAAATCTGAGGTGGCCCGTCTTGGAGCCGCTTCGGCGATGATGACATGGTAAAGTCCGTGTTTGTTTCTTTTTCCGCTGGGATTCTTTCTTTTCTTTTTCCTTTCTTCTTTTTTTTTGTGATTGTGTAAACCTGCTTACATACGTACATTCAAACCCCTGTGCTGTCTCGGCTCTTTTCTTCGTGTTCTTTCCAGCGATACCGGAAAGCATTGGCCTTTGCTTCTTCTTTCGTACTTTGTATCATGGACCTGTATATAATCGCGACTCGTCGGATTAATAAGCTGCAATCATCTGCCGCGTTTCCTTTTTCAAAAGTATTTGAAATAAAAGCAAGGCAGAAACAGTCACCAATTTCACTATTCCAATTTTGATTTCTACAGCACTACCTAGTAGTAGTAGGCACTCGACAAAGTGACACGCACACAAATAGGGCGGGAAGATTAGTTGGCCTGGTTATTGCCCTGTTGGGAGGGAGCAGCAGCACCCAGCCTTTATCGAGCCCGTGGCAAGGCTACCTGACATACCTACATACCTAGCCCTTGCTTTTTTAAGGCTTATTATCCCCTATCTTTTTGCTTGACGCCGCCCATGGTGCTAGAAAAGAAGGGCGAGTCAGTTGGGCTTGGCTATGGGAATTTGTGATCGTGGGTTTTGGGCGATTATTAATTCAATGAGGGCTTGTCGAGGTTTTTTTTTTTTTTTGCCGTTTACGGGAAATGGCTATGGAATCATGAGGATGAGCTGGACAAAAGGCCAAGAGAAGAGGGCAAAGAAAAAAAAAACACGCAGAAGACGAGAATCAAAGATGCTCATCGCTGAGCAATCCGGTTCGGGGATTTTGTCATTGACATTGTTGTCGGGAGTGGCGGGAAGCGCCTCTTTTCGACATCAATCCTCGCCCCAGTTGGGCGCGTATTCACGTACACACGCATCGTACACGTAGGTATCCGTACGAAGAATGCGTGTTATATAGTGAGTGAATGAGTAATGTAATGTAATGTAATGTAATGTACTCGTAATGGTACAGTGCAAACGCGTAACAGAACGCAGCGTGTTAGGAAGCAAATGCCAGAAGCGTTTATACGGTACAGCATGGCTGACGACGTCGGAGTTTCTAAGTTGCGAATGAAACTCCAAATGTCCGTCCGGTGGGATATGCGCAAAGCCCCCGATGCGCTCCCTTTTCTTTTCCCTCTGCGCTCCCTCCGTCTTGTATACTTGAGCAGGGGTCAGTTGATTGATTTACTGACTTACACAACACAGTATTCTCAATTAATTTACTGCATACAAAGAGAATAAGAGTAAACCTCAAGCTATAACATCACGACCGCCCGACGTCAACGTCTCTCCTCCTCCCCAATCTCCGAAATACCCCCCCAGACTAACCCTCGGCGCGGCATCTTCCGCAAACTCCTCCAAAGCTCGCACAGCTTACTTACTCGTGCATATTCCAACAATGTACACTCTTGTCTCTTTTCTCCCCTTCCTTCGATCTTGCTTTTACCCCTCAGGCTTTCTCCCTTCCAGTTAGTATCCCCCCCCCCTCCCTCCCCATCACCATCACCATCTTCTCCAAGAAAACGAGAAAAAGCTTTCCCTAGTAGCTTAGCTGGTTTCCCTTTCTCCTCTCTTTTTCGCGAAGCTCTGCATATGACAAGGTTTACAGCATCTCATCTAACCCACAATAAAACACATGGCTCCCCCTAATCCACTTGTTGCCAAAACCCTCGGCAAGGACTTTCGTCACGGAATCGGCAATCCGCTTCGATTTTCATCGCCGCTCCTCCGATGCGCTGAAACAAGCAACAGTGTTCCGATGACCAAAGTTTATGTCTCCCAGAAGGGAATTATACACACTCTTTTCATTACCTACTGTAGCCACAAAAAAAAAAAGAAAATCCATTACTTAATTCCCTCCAATATTCCCCGTATATAGAACTTCCACACTTCACAATGACATCCATCCGTCCTCACCACCATCCCGAATTCGTAGCCTACGTTCCCCAAAGAAGCAAGATACATTCACATACAGAAAGTGATAGCCTATTCCCCCTCTCAAACAAAACTCCTCATACCTCAATCCACAAGCGTCATCCTTCCTCCCCCCGCCCATCAACTGCCCTTCCTCGGCATAACGCAACCCCGAAGCCATACCATCCCCATGCAAGACATCCAGTTGGCACGGGGTTCCAAGACGCGCCGAACAATACACACGGCTTCATTGAAAACCGCACAAGGTACACGGCTGGTACTTTCCTCTCCTCTTAACAAACCCCCTTTCGGCGACAATTCTCCACGAGTGTCGAATAAGCATACATATATATCCCGGGTCGGCGTCTCGTGATATTCTCTGGTGCCAAGAGCAGAGTACAACCATCCAGTGCTCCATAGCATCTACCCGTACATGATTATTCACAGTCGGCAGCATTCACGTGGCTTGAGCCGGCATGGCCAGGTTCCTCCTTACATGAGCGTCATCCGAATACGGAGTAGCCAAATCTATCAACATCATGTAACAGAGTATCAACCCCATGGGGCACTCGAGGTCCGTCACCATCGTGTCACACTGGCAAGCAATTGTGAACATCATGGCATAAAACATATTCAGCTACGGTCGTGCAATAGTGTCTATGGTCGTTGCGTCTATTCACAGAAAATGAGCACCGCCGTGCCTCCATATGTAAAATGAACCAAGAAGAGAGTTCCCTAATGTCGGCGCCTGCGAGGGCCAGTCGACGCCATCAACACGTCAGCATCGACGCGTTTCGACAGTGTCCCGCAGCCGCAATAGAATCGAAATGCCCCCCGTTGTAAATCCAGCACATCATCGGGCATTGTGCCAGCCCCATAGCGCCCCTTTACCAGCCTGGATCCGTCTGTGTACTCATCATATCGACGCCATGCACGTTGAAAGTAGCCGAGAAGACCAATGAGAGAAGAAATCGAGAGCAGCCAAGGGAGCTGTCCCTTAAAGTTTGTGGGAAAAGAAGAAGTGAAGAAAATCAAGTCCAGATTGTCAAAATGACATCGCGTAAGATACAATGAGAAGCGAAAAAAAATTCGTTCAACGTTTCGAAAGTCCGAAACCCTAGCCACGCACATCTCAGCCTTCCTGGAGCCCGACCGCCATTGTGTGATGCTACGACCGAGTCCCTATAGAGTCTGCATGGGCAGGAGAAAGTGGCAAGTGCCGGATGGGGGTTTTCCCTGTTACTATTTAGATAGTAATACCGGGGTGGCCCAGGGCAGGGAGAACGTTCTCAGCGTACTCGCCACCAAAGTTTCCTGGAAACATGAGTGTCAGTTTCATGCCGCCATCAGAGGGTGGTTCGACTTCTCAGGGGGGCTTACCTGGGGGACCGTAGTTGCAGACAGTGTACCAAGATGGCATAGAGAGGACGGTGCCGGCAGGGCACTTGGCGGTGTAGCATCCGACCTTGGTGGATGACTTCCAGACAAGCTGGGTGAAGTGGCCCCAAGCATCCAGGTTGGAGCCGGAGGGAGGGTTGTCCAGGCCGAAGAAAGTCCAGTTCTCCATCTCATCATTGTACCACTGGTCGGTGATACCACGGCGAGCAGACTCGAGCTGGAGGTCATCGATGTCGCCAGTGGAGCCCCAGCTGGCAAGGTTCTGGCCGTAGCCACCACCGCCTTGGTTCCTATGACGAGGTTAGATCTTATATACCCTTTCTAAAAATGCCCATTCTCAAATCATTCACTTACATGTCGTGAGCGAAAACGCAGCCCTCGGCAATGGTCTTGGCATATCCGGCAAGAGTAGTATCCCAAGCCAGATCAGGAGCGGAGTGGTTGGCACGGTGAATGTTGTGCTCGTTGACAACGATGGAGCTGTAGTCGTTTCCAGAGGCGGGAGCCGAAGCGACAGGAGAGGAAGCAGCAGGCTTAGGAGAAGGAGAAGGAGAGGGCGCGGGCTTAGGCGAAGGAGAGGGCGAAGGCGCAGGCTTGGGAGAAGGCTTGGCGACAACCACCTCGGGGGTCGGTGATGGTGACGGCTTGGGAGCCGGGGCGGGAGACTCAGCGGGAACGATCACGGGCTTGGGGGCCACGGCCGGTGCCGACGAAGCAGGAGCCGGCTGAGGAGCTGCCTGGGGAACAGACTGTTGGGTCACCGCGGGCTTGGGAGACGGGGCGGCCGGCGGAGGAGGAGGAGGAGCATAGACGGGCTTGGGAGCCGGAGCTGCGGGCTTGGGAGCCGGAGCTGCGGGCTTGGGAGCCGGAGCTGCGGGCTGAGGAGAGGGAGTGGCGGCTGGCTGCTCAGAAACGTTCTGGACGAAGACTCCACCAGCGGTCGGCGTAGCAGAAGCGGCGCTCGCAGAGGGGTCGACGGTGACGGTGACAGTCACAATGTCGGTGACCCATTGGATGTCCAGAGCTCGCTTGTCGAGGGGCATGGCCGAGACCAAGAGGGCACCCGCGGCCAAAAGGACAGCGGACGACTTCATCTTGAACGACGGAATAGTCTTTGCTTGGAGTAGTAGATGTCAAGTTGAACTTGCTAAGGAAATGGAGTTAGCTTTTTCTGGATACTATACTCAACATGTGTTTCAAACGGGGATTATGGCTATTGAATATCTCGCAGAAGTTGAAAGCACCAAACTGGATATATAAGGAGCCGAAAGCAACAGCGATTCACGACGAGGCTGGTGAACGAGAGATAACCTTGTGCGTCACCCCCGCGGCAGTATAAGGCCAGAGGGCTGCCGATGTCCTCTGGAACGTGGCCTTGGGAAGGATGAGGAATGCAGATCCATGAGGCTGCTGATGGAAACGGAACAATACCCCGCAAACTCGACACAAGAGCTTAAAACAAATCTGAGGAATGGGCCAAGCAGGGCAGTGCTAGGACAAGGTGCAAATGGACACTTGCCCAGTTGCTCCGGAAACAAGGGAGCTCGATGGAGGTGGCCATGGGAGCTGTCACATGTATGACGAGAGATGCAACTTGAGAGAAGTGGTGACTTGGTAAAGCCAATCATGATTTGCGATGGATATATAGTATAACGAACAAGGAGTGAGAATAAAGTTGTCGATCACTGCCTTACCTTGATGGACTTGATGGTATGGCGATGCGGATGTGAGATCTGGACGGTGGTCGAAGAGGGTTTATATTGGCTTGCGTCAGAACCAGTCTGGTGCAGCACCGCTTTCAAGTTTTGAAGGAGAGTCGGGAAGCCGTGTGGTTGGACAACGGGCAGGGACTGAAGTCGTCTTGTTCGTTTGGGGGTCGACGAAGGAAAAGAGCGTGTTCAGTCGGCGGCTGGATGCACTCGACCTTGTGGATAGCGAACTCGAACTTGAAAGAAGAACCGGATACCAGGCCGATAAATAACGAAGTGAATCAATCGGGTCTCAGAAAAAGGAGTGGAATGTGCCGTCGAGGACACGGTAAGGAGAGTTTTTTGCAGAAAAGAGGGGAGGGAAGGGAATTGGCCAAGATTTCGCTCTCTGGGAGTGGAGGACAAGGAGAGGCGAGAAAGCCGCAGCGGCAGAAGGGCGACGTTAAAAAGGAAAAGGAACGACGGTGGTGGGAACCGGGTCGAATTGACAAGGAGTGGGCAAACGGGGGCAGCGTGTAGTGCGTAGAGAGTAGAGTAGAGTAGAGATGGCAAAGAGAGGTGGAGGAGGCTAGGCTAGGGGAGATGAAGCTGGGATTGCTCGAGTTTGCAGTGTTTCGAGATGCGCACGCCCCCTGCCGCGACCGGGGGGGTGCCTACATGCGAGTTGAGGGGACCCGTGGCGTAGCGAAAGGCAGCTGAGGCGCCCTGTAAATGGAGCTGCTGCAGGTGCTGAGTGAGTTGGGCTTGGGGGCACCTGGAAGCCCAAGACTGCCTGTAACTGACCTGTTGGTCACCTATCGATTCCTTATCGAAGCATTGATACTCGACCTCCTTGATGCTGATACTGCACTCTGCACCCCGATATCCATGTACCTACTCGTGCAAGCATATCCATACGCATTGATCACCCGGTTGGCTATACGAACATTTCCAAGACAAACAACAAAATACCCCATGCGTGCGGGTTCCTGGAATCATGGGGCTGTTCCTGTTCCTGACGCTACGAAACAAGCCAAGTTGCTTAGCACTGGACCTTATTGCCAGCTTAGCCTAGTTGGGCAGCGCGGGGGTGACGGCCATGGCGTGGCTGTAGTAAAGGGCATCAGATTGAACACAACAATTGAGGCTCTTGTACTGCATCAGCATCAAAGTCTCTGTACAGCAAGTATGTACAAGAACGAGAGAGCTGGTTTTCTGCAGATTGTTGGTGTAACCGCTAAATCTCCCAGTGGCGAAATCAACCGGCAGCAGCAGCAGCAGCCACAGCAGGTTTTGACTGCTAGGTATGTACCTACCAGCAACAGACGACTCCACGGATGACCATCGCGAACCAGACCCTGATGTGTCCTTACCTTGTCTACCTGGTACTCATACCTATTCTAAGCTGAGTCTTTTTTTTTTTCTTTTTCCAGCTCTCCATCAAACAAAGCCACCGCAAGGGCTGAAAAGAAGCATTCTAGACCGCTGTCTCCGGCCCCGCGCTCATCTTGCACTGACAAGGCTCAAAATTAAAGCCACCAGCAATTACCGCCTTGGCCACGGGCCCCAGCAGCCGGGATAGGGACAGGCCAAACCAACATAAGCCTTCTCTTGACATCATATTCTGCGTCTGTTTTGCTTTTTCCACCATTATAATATTTATTTTCCTTTCTTTTTTTATTATTACACATCACCCTCGACGTTGAGATGAGTAGCAGCATCCCGGGGCGTGGGCTCCTCGCCGATTACGCACATCGTCAATGGTGTGTCTGAGATCGGATGGCGCAGCCGCATTGGCGAGGAGACAGAAGAAGAAGAAAAAATTTCGTCAATGTCTCTGCCCGGGGGGGTCTCATGAGCCCCCCTCCAAGCCGACGCCATCATACCTCTGTGCAAGTGCAACTTCGTATTCCGTCCACGTATCGAGATTAGATGCGCCCAACTAGCTAGACCCGGATCGCTGCACGCAGTTGCTCCTTTTGTCGTTGGCCGAAGAATGCCTTCGAAACGCCTCAACGCGCCAACTCTTGACTTGATACGCGCTTTCGAAGAGCTTCAACCGTCTGCTGTCCCGAGGTTGCTCTGGGCAGGGAGGCAGGCCGATGATATGTATCAACCAATATTACATGTCAACTGCGACTACTACTGTATCATTCATTACATGTATTCACATACCACCTAACGCTGCTGCCCCTTGATTTCCGACCCGCCATCTGTGCTAAGTGCCGAACATTGTTCTAGTATTTCTTTTCCGTAATGTGATTTCTCTCTTTTTTCTCAGCCCTGAATCGACGCGATTATTCGCCGACTCCGTGTATCCCGAGCTTGGGTTGAAAAGCTTGGCAGCTTGAACTCTATGGACAATACATGTAGTCTCTCGGTATATGGATGCAACAGCGATTGAACGAATCTGAACTCAATTATACGAGAACATTGGCTTGCAGTTCACATTCACCGCTACATTTTTCTCTTTAGCTTCATCACATCACTATTATGCCTTTACTGTTGCTTATTACCTGCAGACAGGCCTCAACACTCATACAAGCAGCACCGCTACCAACACGCCCCTCCCCTGCAGCTCATCCTTTTTTCTTCCCATAAAATGTTTCCCGCCTCTCACGGCGCTGTGCCTTGCAGCAGCTTTGCTCTGGCGCTTGGCTGCTGCAGGCGTCTTTCAGCCTCCACCAACCAGCGCCGGCGTCTCCATCAAACAAGCTACAGGCGGCCTTGCGGGACTTTTATCCCTGAAACGGCACTAATCGCTCTGTATCACCCCCTACCTCATCTCCAGCGCTCTTTGTCAGCCTATCGAGGCCTTGCAATTGGGGGCTTTTGGTCACTGGGGACGGCTCTTCGTTCTCCATTTCTCGTAGATGCAGGAGGAGCGATGAATGTCACTCATTTCAAGCACCCTCGGCTCTCCTATACCGTGATTCCAGCTAGTAGTACTTGCAGCAGCTTTACGGGGAAATTCGAAAAATCAGATCATGGGATGATACACGCTGTGCCCAACGGCGTCTGGTGCAAGTGCAAGTACCTACCCCGTAAGGTGACGGGAGGTATTTGATTCAATAGGTAGACGGAACCAACATGGAATTCATCGCTCCCACGGCCCGCGTGTTCCGTATCAATACGACATGTAGAGTCGCATTTCATGCCCTACCAAGGAATCAATAGTGCCAGTCGCAGATCGCAATTGTCCAGATGCGGGGTTTGCCAAAGAGGCAAACACTGCGCTTGGCACTTTGAATCTGCCATTCAATCCTTGCCATGGCACATCACATCTCATGTTGTCACGGGTATTCCTTCTTTTTCGTCTTCCTTCTCTCAACTGTGTACTCGTACTTGTACTCTAGCGATCCGCCTCGTGCTCCGCAGTTCGTGCTGCGTCTCATCAAGCGCACGCTGTGGACGCTCACGAGGCCGACCGAGGCCCCAGCTCCGGATACACCAAACGGCCGCCCTTTTCCCCTTGACGGTGTTTGCGCACGTACCTGTAAGAAGAAACATTCGATGACATTTGATGTCGCCCTTTTGCCGCCGACACTAGCACTCCAAATAGGAGCAGTTATAAGTGATTCATTGGCGGGGCATCGAGCACATGGCCGGAATCCATCACGAGACACTTCATCCTTTGTTTCCCTTGCGCGTCTTCACGAAGCTCATTCCGGGCAACCCAACTCGAGCTTACCACTGCAATCCATGTATTCTTCTCACTGCCCTCATCATTTCGGTACGTCGGCTCATCTTCTCTCTTGATGGTCCCACAGCCTTGATCGTGTGTATCCGCTCGATGCTAGCCGTGTGCCTATTTCCCATCCCCCCATGACGAGGCCGGGTCTAGTGCTGCTCGGAGGCAACATCTTTCTCGTCCGGCGTCCGGGATGACTGGAGTCGAGGCCCAGCAGGCTTACTCGCGTGCGTTCCCAATGTATGGATACATTGTAGGCCTACCAGTCATTGACTGCCACGGTGCCACCTGCTTGGCACTTCGTATTTTATTTGATTTTAGACGCAAGATAATCTTGAAACCGATGAGTCTCGGCAGCACACGTGCAGAAATGCTAAAGTTAATTGCAGCTATCGGATAACCTCCCGCGTGGGAGACTAGATGCCGTACAGCTCCTCATCTCTTGGCGTGTCTGGACAGATCCGAGGCGCGTATCGAGCACTACCTTGATAGCTTAAACCTCCCTACTATACCGTTTGCTTTTGCTCTACTCGTACTTGATCCTAGAATGCGTGTACACGTATGAGAGGCTCCACCAGATGCAGCCATTTCCCCTTACTGATTAGACTACACGCACTCGTATGAGTGCATACCCGGCGAAGCAAGTAGGCATACAGCCTATTCCGCGCTCTGCCTTGGGACGTGGCCGGTACTAGTACAAAATTCCTGCCTCTTC